GACAAAGTTGTCTGGGAGTAGACAATGAAAATCCAAAACGTTCTGCTGTTCTTAAACTTTAGCCACCTCGCAACTTGGCCGTGTGGAAAGAAGAGACCCTATTTTCGACTACGGTCTCCTCTAATCTATCCATGTCCTAGAGTACATAGAAAACTCCTAAAGAAGTAAATATCGATAATGAAGCTCTCCAAAGTGTAGAAACACCTGCCGGTTATTTTACCATAGGCCTAGACAGGAGTGCAGTAGAATGTCTAGAAGTCCTGCCCAGTCAGGTCAGACAAACTCCTTGCCATTGTCCTGGGATGAGTCGTGAGCCTGATTTCTTACATTATTTCTAAAAACTGGGTTGCATGGAGTAATTTGAAGAGTAATATTTTCCTTTTCTCCCTCTCATTGAGATGAGACCCTGTTTCGATCGTAAGATCGAAAAAGCAGGAAAATAACGCGAAACAATGATTCCTTAAACAACACCGTTTGGAACTACCCAAAGATTCACATGAAAACGTCTCATTTTTCCATAGAACTCGATGCATCAACTCCAGGTTGAAGCTCAGGCTCATCGTAATGGTATAAAAACCCGGTATCATTGTGCTAAAGATTACAAAAAAATTCACAAACAGTTCTATCGAGAACAGGAATCCGATGAGTTGCTGTGGGTAAGAGTGTTATGCTTCATAACTGCCTGAGTAGAGGGTCACTGACCATTGTTAGGTATACTCATCATTCCTAAGGTTCCGAACACTCAACTAACCAGACCCAGCGCGTAGTTTTGTGGACCTCATTACCAATTCAGCCATTGCTTTGTCTAATTTTGTTCCGAATTTTCCCACGAGGTGCATCTAAAGCAATAACTCAGCATGAATTGCTTTCAGACGAGGTCAAATGAGTTCCCGTTCCCGCACCGTAAACTATGTCCCCAAGTGGGCCCACATTCAACGCATGATTTACAACGGCAGCCATCATTACCGAGTGGACGATGCCTTCATTATTCCCACTAGCGTGATGACGGGAATCGAAGTAGGAGGATGCGACGGATGAGATACGCTTTCTAGTGGGGACATTGGCCATCGGGGGCTGCTCTTGAAGTGCTCGTGTCTGCCTGATATACGGCTAATTTGTGTTGCAATATGCCTCATTCAATTGACCGCCGTAGCTGGTTATTAATATGGAATTAGGTGATCATCGAAACACGCGTGGACATCTAACCAAATCCCTTGGGTCCGCCAGAAAGCTCCTCCAAGAAAGCTCCTGAACAAGTGACTAGAGACTTGTTCAGGCGTTGTTGTGAACCAGCTGACCTTTCCGCTCTACCCGCACATACGTTGCTGTTTTCGGATGACTCCTAATTAGGACAAGATAATGGCAGGTTACAGAGACTGATTGGGAAACAATCAGACAGCCAACAACACACTCATTGCCCGGATGACCGGAAGCTGGGCGCGGGAACGGCATGGGCTGGTTGTTGAACGGGCAATAATAGGAAGGGTTCAGGCTGTCTACACAAGTGGTTTTCGAAAAGTTCCGGGAATGCCTCTAGACCACTGCTATTCTTTTTTTTGTGATGAAAGGTGGCTTTCTGAAAGATGGTGAGGCCTAGGCTTCGGAGAGTTCAAAGTTCCCATTTCTATGCCTTCTGGGGACCTCTACGTCCCCAAAAGAAGAACTTCAACCTCATCAGGCTGGGTAAGAAAGCTTGTCCGAGTAGTATTATCAATGTCCTTGGTTCAAATTGTGAAGTTGCATCCAAACATCTGGGAAGGGGATCTGAAGAGGGAGATTCTGTTGCGTAAGGGGAACTGCCAATTAGCAAGTGTTAGTCTATGGGAGCACAGTCTTCAGACTAAACCGCTTCTTTGGGTGGTATGGTGTCACACAGAACTTATTCAATTCGATTTTTATTTCATTTTATCTGTTGTAAAACTGACCACCAAGCAACAAGAGATACTTCCCTTTGTGAAAGATTAAATAAAAACCATTACATAAATAAAATTACAAAAAAATGCAAGAAATAAATGAGAAGGCATTTGTGAAGATTTGCCGAAAAATGCAAATAACCAATAAAGACAAAACTAAATAAATTTACCATAAAACGCCACAAAAGTAACTGTGAAATGACCCCTACTTTAATCGGAAACTTCTTCTTCCAACGCAAGTGTCATGATTTCGATTGTGGCTCGCCCCCATCCCTCTCATAGGCCATCACAAAAAGGGCAAAGTGGAGCGTTGGGCCAGTTCATGCTTGTTCATTTCAAATACCCTCTTTTGAAGGCGCTTGCTTCAATTAGATGCACTATCTGGCCATGGAGGACCTCATTCGGCATAGTGCGTATGATGTGGTTCTGTGCTTGGCTCGCACGACATATGCTACTACCCTCCTAATGCCGCTGTTTTACGGTCACTGGGTTATTAACACGCAGCATTGCGAGTCCCGTCATACGATACGCAGACGATTATTTCAAAGACATTGGTACTGGTAATTAGAGTGAGTAGTGCCTTCTGAACAGTAACCACAGTGGCTCGGCTCATTTCTGGACCACCGGTAACTCATTCTGAGATGTTCGAAGAGGCGGACTGTCGGGGTATACTTGAACGAAATACCTTTTAGGCCTTTAGGAGCATAAAATATGTAAATTATACGGTAGAACTCTGAGTATTTTAAATTCCCTTTTTACGGTGTCCTTCCTCTCTTTGATTAAGTAATTCTCATCAATAACGAATAGTGTGGTGTTTTCCAAAGCGAAGATAGTCCAGGTTCTAGGGGTCCGAACCTTTGAGACTCAACCCTTCCCTACCATCGCTTCATTTATTTCAAGCCGATTTCATTAGGTGAATGCATTAACCGATGAAAACCGGCTGGCCCTAATTAGCTTTTACGCTCTGCAAATCTAATCGGAAGTCGAACAATGACAAAAGGACTTGATGAAAGCTGTCAGTCTTACGCTCGACCTCTTTAAAGGGTATTAAAGGCTCTTAAGGCAACCGGAAGAGGTGCTAAGTAAATATTTTAAAAGTTAGCTGTCAAAAAGTGTAGGAAGTGTTTTTCACCCATTTTTTTCCAAATCGAGCCTTCCTTCTACCTTTTAGGCACCAATCTAATCTAGCAATGCAATTACAGTAATTGTATGAAAGAGACAAAATTAATTGGCTAAAAATACATTTCACGCCCATTGCCCGAATCACAGAAGTAGTCAGATGTATATTTAACTTACAACAAAAAACTTTTAAAAATTCGCTGCCTGATGGGAACTTACCTCTACCAATTACCCTGATGGTTCACTCGCCGCCTTCTGAGCAGTTTCACATAAATCCAGACTTTTTAAAAAAGAAAAATGTATGGGTTATAAGTAATACTGTATGCCATACTTAAGAAAATGTTTAAAAATACAGATATAATGCCATAAAGCAAACAATATAAGCCCGAATACTCGGAAAGTTGTATTAATATTTATGTAGCCACTTTAAAAATGCTACAGTAGACAAAATCTTATCCGTTGATCTTTTACTTGACACTTGGTGCCAGCAATGTTATTACGCAACATAGGCGTGTAGAACACCTGTCGTCATGAACAGCGGGATACAAGGCTCATCTGAAGAGCATCTTTAATCTCAAATCATGTCGTCGTCAGGGGTCGAGTACAAGGCAAGCGCAATTTAGCGGCACCGTTCCGTCATTATTGCACTGCGCATCACGTAAATAGCAAAGGCTCCCGCAGCGTTACACGACACCCAACCACACGCAAAACCCCAAAGCTCCCACCATACACAATAAGCACAATCAGCCTGCTTTAATGAAACACCGTAATAGCAATACCAATAATAACGGGTGGGGGTGGGAAGAGGAAATTATACACAGAACGGCTAAAACGTCTCTATGAACACGAAATATTGAATTAAACGCGATAAATTAATTGTGAAATGTAAATGAAGAAGCGACGCGTCTCGCGTAGTATGTCATAAGGAATGATACAGATACGTTTGCATGTATGTATGTATGTGTATATACGTAATATGTGTTATACACCGAGAATTACCGAGAAATGTCGAAAAAAAAAAGAAAATTATGCGAGACGGTCGCTTGAGGTAACCTGAGTCACATGGGAAGATATGGACAACTACTGGACAACATGGCCTACCTAAAACCAACCGAAATGCTTAACTTTTTGCTATTAAATGAAGTGAAAGCAGTGGTGTAAAATAAACCTATTTGTGATAGTACACAATCAATAAATAAAAACTCGAATCCGCATGTGAGTAGAAAAGGCAATCATATCGTGGACATGCCATGCGCATAGAATAAGAGTCCACGACATAGAAAATCAAACGAAAGTCAAAGCTATGAGCGGGTGAGCTGCACCGTTGGAGCGGCGCCTATATGAGTGATACTCATTTGATCTAATGACACATTAATTTCACTGTCAGCTACACACGTTTTAAGCATATCATCATTCAGCAATGCTGCATCGTCCAACGATGAGCGGGAACTATTCGAACCCATTGGTGACACTGTCCTAAAAAATAGTAACTTGGGTTTCGTAATATTGACACATGTAGGTAAAAAAGAAAAGCCCAAATCATGCATAAAGGGCATTTGCACATATTCGGAACTACCCAATCATTTTACCTAAAAGATGAAGCCTTCGGTAGATGAAATTTTCGGGAGCAAATTCCAAGAGCTATCTCTTCCCCGCCCTCATTCCTCATTAAACTCTCAGTCGTATATCCACCCACTGTGCCATCTAGGCATTAAGACCATCCAGGCCCATCGCCTTCTTGATAAAAATTGCCGCAATAATCCATAACTCAGCAATACTTGAAACATAGATTCGAAGTATGAAATATGATATTCACGAGGGATACGGTAAGATCGAAGGGGACTCATCTATTACGTAAATTAAGGTTGGCCGTACACTGATATTCTAGGGTGAGGTGCTCCCTGCATTCACATGATCAACTGTCTTCAATTTCGAGTATGGAAGCATTCCAAAAGCAGTAGGTAAAAATTACCTTTGCGGTGTGTTATATCCAGATCCTATTTTGAACAGTGCACGTTTGAGTTCACGCTCAACGATAAATACATTTCTACGGCGTTCATCTTCTCCAATCCTGTAATTAAAACCTCATCTCCTGCCAAAGTCATTTCCCCCACGAGAAGAAGGTCAACAAGTTACCTGTCATATATAAGGCCATCAACACCTAGTTCCTTCTTGAAATAGTTAATGTTCTCCTTTTTGTCTAAATCCTCTCCCCACACAAAGGTTATAAGACCGAAATCATTGGCCCGTTTGACTGGATATGGATCGTTCAAAAGGTCCTCTGAGTTAAAGTTGACACCCTGAAAACATTTCATCCTTCGAATAGCTCAAGCTGAGAACAATGCAAAGCTCAAGTACCATTATGTCAGCTCCAGCAGCGAAATTGACAGCCGTCAAACTGGTGCTACTGCGTTGATCCTGGAACCTGGTGTAACGTTGTGTCTCTCCAACGCAGAGGAATAGAACCGGATACTTGTTCTGCTTCATTGATATTCTAAAAGAATTTTGTTTTCAAAAGGACAGAATGTGTTTGAATTGATCAAGTGATGTTAAGCGAGTGTGAGAAACACATTTATAAGTCTTATCATATCCTTTTTATTTTGTCATTCGGCACACGGCAGGGTAATGGTACCAATATCACGTACAGGGACAACATCTCGATCCCCTAGCGCTCGACCTGAGCCCTAATTCGCTAGACGACTAATTCGAAGTGAATTCTCCCGGGAAGAAAAATAATGATGTCGTCATCGTCGGCCTAGTATAGGGCAACTAGTACTGAGACGGCAATATGACTTGGAATGGAAATAATCATTCCAAATCATTAGCCATTCCAACATGGTCAAACAACAGCGAATGACTCTTCACAACTTTCTCATTAAGTCATCTACGCAGAACCCTACAGCATTATAGCGATAATCCATCCACTAGCTGAAAAGTACTTTTTTTGACGTCCCACACAATTGTCTATTCAAAAGCTCGAGAGAGCATGATGAAGAGGCCGAGATACAAAGAGCTTTTCGGAAGAGATACACATTATATTACAACTGTCCTATGCCCTACAACAAAAATGTACTTACAGAGAGCAAATATCCGGATCGAAGCTGGAGAACATGATCCTTCTATTTCCAGCATTATTCAAAAGATCAGCCAATACAACATCGATGAACTCGTTCCGCTCAAAGTAGTGATCACACTCGTGTTGACCGTTCTGAATTTTCGCCATCGAACAAATTAAAGATTCGATCACTGCATCAATCAATCGAAAACACCTACCGATTGCATCATTGGATATTTGACCTCCACGTTGAACCCCACATCTGGATCCACTTTTGACAGGGCTTCTACCAAAGTAGGGAAAGGTTTGAAGTCTTCTTGTTCATCGACATCTTCCACAAGCTTTTTCACGTTCTCCTTATGATGAGGGAAGCTGATATGATCCAACTGAAAAACAATTTTTTCGATAGTTTTTTTTTTGTCCTCTCGACGGACTGGTTGATTGTGGTACTTGATTGTGGAAAACCCTTCATTTTCAAATCATCTGTTGTATTTATGTTTCCTGCCTTAGAATCAGTCAATAAACACCACTTTTTCATCTTTATACTCTACGCACGTTCTTGGTTGATGCTCAGCTAAATATACGCACAGCGGTGCTAATCGTCCAAAAACATAGAGGGAAACTTTTTAAAACAAACAAAGAAGGTCTTATTTGCTTAACGGCTCTCGCATCGATCCCAGTTATGTTAAATGAGCAATAGCGCGAAAAGAATCAGTTGCCACCACGTTTCTCATAATGCAAAACCTTACTTCACAACATTACTCCCATTTTATTCAATTTCCAGCATTTTATTAACCAAAGTGATTCAACAAATGAGAATTGAATAAGTGCAGTCCACTGAGAACTTACCATAAGAAGCTTGAGCTGGTTGAGCTTCAGGTCTTTGACAGGAATTTCATGATAGTCTATGTGCTTTTCGCTGTGTATGTCAGAAGGTTTCAAAACTTCCGGAAAAGTTCCCGTGGAGTGGCGCTTCGCCACAGAAACAAGCACATGGAAATCATGGTAAATCACAGCCACCTGAAATTGATTACTTGATAGACGGACACATTAACAAACTCAAAAAAAAACTCATGAACTAAAGATAACATTTCTTGAAGAAAAAAACATTTCGTTGAGGCCAGTGCGGCGGCGTGCAACAACACTCGTAAAATATTTCTTCACAAAAGTGGCAATCTCATCACAATCTCCACGCGTAGGTCAGATATCAACGAGCAAAGCCTCAGTTAGCTATTTCAATTAGTCATTTCACGAGAAAATTATGTTCCAAAATCGAAACATTTATTTTTTCAGACGCTAGTCCTTCCTAGTTGTAGCAAATTATGAACTCTTAGAGTATCAAATGAAATTGTAGTCAATCCATAAAAGCGCTACCGTATAATTACTAAATAGCACAGCTTTAAAAAGTAACTAACGTCATGCATACAAAGATAACCCCTCAGCGTTAATGACCCTGATTAGATTCTCTAGAAAGCAATTTTTTCGGTCAGCTTGATTACCTTGTCCTTCGTCAGTTGCACGTCGAACTCCACATAATCGGCTCCATTTTTTGCAGCCGTGTTCAACGAAAATATGGTATTTTCACGAGCTGCAGCAAACCTGAAATCAAAAATGAGTGATGCTGTTAATCCGGACAAGGCGAAAGAGACAGCGCCTACTTCGTGAAGGAGTTTCCTGCTCCTCGGTGACCAACTTCTATTGTGTTTCTCTTTTTCCAGTGCCTAGTGTATGAGACTTCCATAGTCTGCACAGGAATTGGTTTGCGCAGATTTCGGACAAAAAGGTACTCCACTAAATAATAATAATAAAGACTCATTTTCTATTATTATTAGTTAGGCATAAACTCAGGATACTAATGTCCGTACCTGTAATTTGACCTATAGGCCTTCCCGAGGAGTTAATAAAGGGCAGTTGCGATAGACCACATGAATCGGATAGCGAAGACGGCAAAGCATAGCATGCGCCTATCCTTTTTCCTTCCTCCGAAAAGATCTCAACGTAAAACGCCTGAAATGAACAACATGTTCTTCTCACTGCCTTTTGTGGACGAATTAACAACAGAAAGGCCAACAGAAAGACAACAAAACTCACCAGAAATTCAACAGCAACTGAGTGAGTCTTATATACAACGTAGTCGATGTTATTATTAAACTTAATGCCAACATCGGGTTGCTGTCTGAACTTTGGATTTTTGTCAGAGAGAACCTGAAAATTGCTCATTATCGCACTCACATTAATGAAACAAATGCTTACAATTGAATGAAATCGATAAACATACGGCCACAGATATTGCTGAATGGCTGGGATAGGGCGGCAAACCGTTATCGTCTTCATCATCTTCTTCATCCACACCGTAATTGAAATTGATGTGGGCACCACTTTTCTAAAAGCCTCGATAACCAAATAGTTGGAACCAGAGAACTGGAAACTAGACAAGGAAAAGGGCAAAAATGAAGACGCACCAATCGATGCCGGACGTCCATGGGATTGATTCTTACTGTACAGTTCTTTCGGTCTTTTGCAGACTTGTAGAACTTCAATGCTGTACCATGGAGCCGAAGCAAAATCTGATTTTCGTCATCGTATTGCAACCACCCGTCCGACAAAGTCTTTCGTCCTGCTGAAATTTCAAAAGAAATGACTACTATTAAGGCGTTAACTTTTCAAAGAGAATAGGCAACTTTACAGTGATGAACTCCCCGAGCAGTAATCAGGGATAAAGCTTAACCATTTATAAGCGATATTCTGGCTGTTTGCATTGCAACTCTTTGCAGAATGATTACCATATGAAAAACAGTAAAAACTATACGGCAGTATTAGAAGGATACCATTGCTTCACGGGAATCTGCCACACTCCCCTAGTGGTCGAAATTTCTATTCAATCACCACAGTACAGTTCCACTCCGAGATTCGTTAAATATAGTGAGTCTAACCAAATAAACTCTAAATTCCATCTCTGACAAAACTGAGAATCCACCACCGGCTATGTAGATCCTGTTTCTTTCACCCTTACTTCTGACCATTTCCGCGCTGTCATTATTTATTTCACTTCAGAATTGATTTATTTGTATTTTAGCAAACTATGGGACTCTATTTGCTGCACCATCAACAATTGCGCTGTAAGATCCTTTTAAAATGTTTTTAACTTAACACCAAGTTCACCTGCTGCTGACTGACCGTAATAACCGAAGATGTCAACGTGGTTCGCACGAAACACGCCTCCTTTCTGATCCGATTTCAGCGTAACGGTTCGCGGATGTAGAAAGGATTCCCATCGACCTGAAAACGTGCTTACAACTTGGGAAAACAGAATATTTACAAAGCGGGGACGAATAGGCCGTATGTGAACATAGCACAATCGCTAAACTAATGAGTATATCTTGATGGTGAGGTTGGAGCCACACTGCTCTCACCCCCGGTTCTGCAGTATCGGAACAGTGCTAAGAGCAGTGACGCTAATTTGAATTTAAAGGAAGCTGAGTGAAGCTTCCAAAATCAGAAATACTGTTAAGACATAATCTGTGCCGAATCAGCACTTTTAAAACGTACTAGATTATAACCCACAACTATTTTCCAAATTGAAAATAATATCCAAGTGTTAATGAAATCAGTTTCCCCAGGATGCGAACCAGATCAAGCGTAAGGTGTGACATATGTTTCTATTGATAGCAGCCATAGCATTCGAGCAATTTCAGAACTACATTCCAAAGAATACTTAAATTCACCGTGTTTAACGATGCTCTTGCAAAACCCTGGCGGAAACTAATTGTAACGGAAGAAGGGATTACGAAAAAGCAAAGGCAAGGTATAGGCCTAGGGAAAAGAAAAGTCAGAATGTCGCAATAACGGAAACAATAGGCGTTTAGATGCCGAATGCGACACAGCAGTTGCTTCATGGTCAGCCTTCACTCATCTAAAAGTCTAACAACAAATGGCTAACATGCTTTTATCCCCTTCTGTATTCTCCCGAGAAGAAGGTGTGACAACACCCCGAAGCATCTATTTGAGCATGAAACTTGGCAATGGCAACGTGGCATTTCTCCGGCCCCTCTCACTGGAGTGATCGCAACCCCAGTGTTTTCTGTATCGCAAAGCTCAAATGGCACTATACCCATGGATTTTAACTGTATACAGTACAAAACTGTAAGGATACTTCCTAACCCTTGCTACAGCCATACATTCCTCAAATTTGTGCCCCACCCTACGCTTGACTGGTCCGCAAACAAGAACCACAAGTAAGCTTAGTGCTTAGGTCCCTCCCCTCTATCAAGACACTCCAAATTTCACATATACGAAATAATTTCAATTACATTTAGTTAGCACCAAATGTAAGTGGAGTGGATGATCAAGTACAAAAAAGTACACAAACCAACGAGATTTGGGTATAAGTCTATCAGCAGGAATTCACTGATCGGATGGTTGAACCAGCGGCCACATAGCTCGAGGACCGTAAAACCTACTACACGCGTTCGCCACTATACCCTGACGCTGCAGATGATTTGTGGTCGATCAAGAGTGTCGAACATCACAATACAGTGAACAACACAATGCCAGCGTGCAATACTCACTTCGAACGACGTCGACACTCATATTATGTGTGGATTTTGACTAGGTTTACGGACTGGGACACGGCTTCACCTATGATCAGACGCTGTCCCTGTTCACCGCATAGAAAGTAGCCAATGAAATAGCGAAAACGGACTTCATCGTCCGTTGTATCCACATAGCCACGCCAACGAGTACTGAAATAAAGTAAAACAAATATCCACCAATGGATAAAGAAAGAAATAAAACAACTTACGGTCGGTCGGCATCCTGAGTCAGTGTTTTTGCTTTGAGAGGGTCCCATTTCCCAAGAGACGATGTAGAACCAGTAACGAGTACAAATTCAGAAGGTTGCAGATCTTCAACATCAACGGCGAAAAAGACACGCGCCGCTGGTCGGCTGCTTGACATCTGGATCAAACACTTGCTGTGAAAAGTTGCGGAGCGTTACGAAAACGATAGTTATTCAACTGATTAGAAGATCAAACAGCGGCCAGAATAGATAACACTCCAATTTCGCGGAAATGCTCGGGAGATAAGAAAACGCTCCCTAAAAGAAATGAGAAAGGAAATGTTTACGAACACACCTCTAAAGCAGAGAGATTCTCCTTGGGTGCTCTGGTTTTCTAGTAATCGACATCTAAATGGATGGTGGTTGTTTCGAATGGGACGACTTCGGCAGCGCTCAACGAAGCGACAGCCCGTGATAGGATATGCTGAAAGCGAAAAATGTACTCATTTCAAAGAAGAAAAAACTACTGATACACGAGTCATTCCACGTAAACATGATAGTCCGCTTCAAATTAAAGTTTTTGTATTAAAACACAAGAACAAAAAAGGAAACGGTACACAGCGCGAATGAGATAGGAGCTACTAGGATTGCATGCGTAACAACTTACAAACTCAATGTTCAGAAAAAATGAAGGCAATATCTCGACACAATTTTTGATGTAAGTAAACTTTTGAATGGAAATAATAACTGTTTTACCAAATTCAAAAAAAGTCACACAAATGGAAGACCAAGACGGTTAGTTCCCTTGTGAGAATTTTAGTATTAGAAAAGAATATCGGACAAAAGAACAAAAACTAAGAGCGTTCGAACTGGATCAGCCACATTGAACACAGAAAAAGAAGACTAAAAAATAGCCAACGTCATTAAATTCGTCTCAACGTAGTTATAATGTAAACAAAAAGTACCAAAGAAATTGTTTACAATGAGGGAGGGGCAAATATCATTTGTATAAACATTTTTCGAAGAATGCTCTGGACTTTATCGAAGTAATTCATTCTTTTGGGGATATTTCCAATAAAATTTGTAGAGTCCATAGAAGCGCGAGGCGGCAAAAATTGATTTCCATTTGGTCAACTAATACATAGCCCTTATGAGGTCGTGTTGCCCCGAAAGCTTTTTGCAATATCGATTCCAGCCTGTGTGTGCACCAAGCGGATAGCGGAATATCAAATACAGCTGATTGAAGGCATGGCATTCAATTTTCAAAACGAAAAAGGTAGTTGCCGCTCAACATCAACATACATTGGGCGATATTATACTTATATCACACAGAACTTATCCAATCTACATACATATTTATGCGCTAATGATAAATAAGGCAAGGATGACGAAAATAAATGACACTTTCGAAAGAATAAGAGTTACCAAAACCATGAATTGGGCCTTCTGAAGCTCCAACATCGATTCGCCTATAACAATTGGTCGCGATTGCAGACAGCGCAATTGCCTTTTTTTCAACGGCGAAGCACAATTGAATCCAATACGATTAGAAGAATGTCAGGCAATACCTTGACATTTTCCAATGCTTCTTAGCAAATGTACAAATGAAAAACGGAATTAAAAATGAAATCGGAGAAGCGACAAGAAAAATGACGAAATTTGAGACGAAAACAACACGAAAGCAAAATCGTCTAAACCGGAGCGGATTGAGTTCCAACAACACTCATCCTTTTCCGTCAAACCGACTGGAATTCGTAAAAATGCAGCTAACAAGTTTGTAACAATTAGTCGCAGTATACTGTAAATAAATGTACTTGGGTTGCAAACAATGGTACGAAGGTCGCACTTGATACAAGTACCCCTCACACAGGTGCCCCATTAAAAAGTGTATCCGCACTGTGCCTCATTTACTTTTTACACACCTTTAGCCCCACCCGATGATAAACTGAAGTGCATACTCTGTGACTTTACCCCAGGACAACAGAGAAAGAGTCGATAGGAAAGAAAGGTGATCACGGAGAAGGCAACCCAGTTACGACACAGTTCGACCCCCAGCGGGTCTACTGACCGTCCCCCACATCGATCGAAGGTGGTACTCAAGAAATTGCAAAAAGTGGACATCTAGACATCACTTCCACACTTTATTTCATCAGTTCCTTATTTGTCTCCCATTCAGGTTTTCATGCCTACACATAAGCGATGTTTTCAACGGAAGTTCAGTACAAAGTTCGAAATTTTTCTCGATTCTAGCCTTTTTCAAATCTTTGGCGAAGATGATTCAGCCTTCATATTCCTATCATTTCATACTGCTACCGTTAAACATTAGTGCACTATATCGTCGGTAACTACGAAATTAGCAATGGCTTTCCTTTTACTTGATCGTATTCCGATTGCTTCTGGACCCACGGCAACTACTGTAGCTTTATTTAATTTCTCACCAAGATTCCAAGAATTCGTTAATTTTTACGTCACTTGGCCAGGATTTATTTAATTATTGTTGTGTTTGATGGACCTCCCGTCAATGTTTGTGGAGATATCGTGCAAGCAATATTCGACCATCCATGCCCGAGAAAAAATGTGATGTAATGTATGTGTGATGATTATGTAATTATGCAGGTCTCTTTTGATTCATACTATACCGACTAACGGAGAATGGGCAAAATAAAAAATATGAGGAAAACAATGAAAGGAAGGAAGTCAAACTTCAAAAGTGTTTTGAACAGAGCCAAGCCAGTTACCATCACCAGAAAAAAACCCACGTTAGGCTGCTAGGCTACCGAAGATATAGTGCATTGGTAAGTAACCCTGAAAGTAGTATTTAGAAAAAAAGTTGATAACAATCTCGATAAAGATCAAAACAGTACATCCTTTACGTTCGTACCTAAACAGGAAAGTCAGCAGTATCAAAATAACAATGTCGCGGAATCGAAGGCAAAAAAGAGGCTACCGCTAAAACAAAGCCGACTGATGAGCTTCTAATGAGAAGTTTGTGGGATCGTTAGTATCATCTATTCACGAACGAATGGGATTATCAGTTGACTCAATAATTGACGTTCCACAAAAACCATGACTCAAGTATGTGAGGTGTAGCTTTTGTGAGCAGTAATGAAATAACAGCACTACGGATTCAAAATAGGAAGTACATTGTTTACATCAAACTCGGACAACAAGGGTAAAAAACATCGAATAGACAGCCTAAAAACCGGAAAAATCCTAAGTCAAAAAGAGCAAGGTAACTACAGGCGGAGTTACAAGAATGCCGTTATTTAAATAGAGCTGGACGCATTCACACTGAGTCGATGAAATTGTCGGCAAGATTGTGAGCGTTGGAAATGGGGCTCACTGAGCTGAGGGGGCATACCGACAATATGAAAAGCTTTTTGCTATCTAGATTTTTTCAGCAAGCCCCTCGACGGGAATTAGTAGCAGCACACGACCCGTGCCCCCGATTTAGTGGAATTCCTCGGGAAAATCGGATACCCATGAGAAATTGAAAAGAGGCTCTTGTGTGATGGTTGGCGTATCGGTGTGAACGTTTGGCGAAGAGGCGCTTTTTCTAAGAGCCCTTTGTCGTCAGTAGAGTCTAAGGTTTCTGGACAACTGCTCTGATGAAGTACTAGCTTGACAGATGTCAAGTTCATCTTCAGGCTTGAACAGCTGTTTAGCCCAAATGCTTGCCCTAAACCTGAAATCATACGCTATCACCGTATCAAAACGAGTTTTTATGCAGGAGCACTGAAGTTTGGGCAGAGGTAGCGCAGTGGATAGATGCGGTGCGCGGCTCTTCCAGGGGCTTGAGGATCACACCCCGGTCGTTCAATTATTGCTCACCCGCAACCGACCTACAGATAGCACACCGAACTTGCCTATAAGCATAAATGCACCGGCATAACCATCTCCAGCCTTTAGAAAGGGCTGCATAGATCTGACAGGCTTCAAATTAATACGAGTAATCTAAAAAGGGGGAGAATACGAGACGCATTCCGAAAGTTTCATTTGCCCTCTTACAGTATGAAGCTGCTGGTATGGTGTGCAAGTCAGTTGGCTTTGTGTGAAGGCAGAACTTCTTCCACAAATCGATGAACCAATGAGAAAAAGGAAAAGAGCGAGGGAATGGAAATAATTGCCTCGGAGACCTAATCGGAGCAAAGGAAATGCTTCGAGAATCACTAAGATTCTCGAAATCCTAGCCAAGCCATTTTCTCATCAGCTCCAAGATGAATAATTCATCGATCGAAGCCCTAAAAAAGGAAATGTAGATGAGATTCGATTAGCACTACAGCCATGTAAAGAGGGCTGATGGGAAGAGCGCATATCGGAGAAGGAGAAGAAGAACAGGACGAGTTCTTCTGGAACATCGCGATGTGATTCGATGTGATGCGCTAGGCACTATCAAGCGGTCACACGTTTTTCACTGTGACCGCCGCCACGAAAATCGTGACGGTCACGAGCGGAATGGAAAACAATCACAGCTTAGGGGACTCATCTGTAAGGTTTCAGAAAGGCTTCGTGAGGAGCTGAAGCCTCTATGCCTGGTAAGGCATATGGCGCTGTTAGACGTACCTGCCAAGAAAGATTGGTCTGGTTCTCAATGGCTATCATAACTTTTAATTCGTCCTGTGGCAATACGGTGGAAAGTCTGACCCAGAAATTTAATTGTAAGCTCAGTTACGATCCAAATGCCGTACCGGTTTTGAATGGAAGCCGCCAACATGGCTTTCCCCCAAGGTGCTCGATTCACTGACACGAATGTAGTGTATATACATACCTGTCCGCCTAGTCAAAACCTAGGTGGGCTTTTTTAAAATGCGGCTTGATTTCAGGTAGTGTTTGGTGTTGAATAAAAGTATAGATTTTTTTTTGATCGAGGAGCCTTCTTATTGATGGTAAGTATGCAGTGCCACACCTACCCACCTCGCAGAACTGTGGAAACTTTTTAGGAGCTGAAGGGAGGAAGAGGAGGGTCGTGTTTTGGACTAGAGACTCAGGGTTCCAAACTTGTTGTATGTCAAAAAAAAAATCGCTGATTTCCTTCCCTGACCCGCCCAAAATGTGATCAGTGCCGTCCCTTCAGGGCATCCATGGCAACTACTTTGAAATCTTTATCAATACTAAAAACCAGTTAGTCCGTTGCTAAGAATGTTTCCATAAAGCGGTCTGTGAACATGGTTGACGTTCA